GCAAAAAAGAAATGAGCCCGGATTTGGTGTTCTCTGGGAGAGCGAAAAAAAATATTTTTTTTTTTTTTTTTTTTTTTTGCACGCCCGGGCCTGGCCGGGCGTGATAATCTTCCTAGCTGGAACATGGAAATATACACTGCCACGTGTGTGTGTGTGTGTGTGTTCGTACAACAACTTGCCGTGGCAGACCAACTTCCGGCTGGTGCACAACCATCTTTTATTTTCCCCTGTGCGTGTGAAGTTTCCAAAATGAAAGCAAGGCGCACGGCTATACTCCCCCCCGCGTCCATACTTTTCCACTGCGTGGCACGACTGTTGGAAGTCGTGCAGACAAGAAAACAAAATGTACATTATGTGCAAGTTCCCTTGGGCCGGCACGCACCAGTGTTCGAACTCACGCGAACGGGGGGAAACAAAAACTGCATTCCGTGCAAGCTCCCCGTGGGCCTGCACCTTGTCCGCAGCCAATTTGCCAACACAGGGCCCCCGGGTTCACAGCGGCGTCGTAGGCAAATGTTTGGGGAGAATGAACTTCGGACCTGTGTTTCAGCGCTGGGTTAAGATCCTTCACCAAAATGCCACTACTTGTGTCCAGGTTAATGGGTCAGTGGCACCGCCATTTGAACTCCAACGATCAGTGAGGCAAGGGGACCCGATTGCCCCATACGTCTTCTTAGTAATAATGGAAGCATTATCAGCCAACCTGAGACAAAACAAAGACCTTACACGCATTAAGATATCCAATATTTCGAAGGAAGCAATACCCATTTGTTCCCTATTCGCAGACGACCTAACCATTATGGTGGAAGCGACAGAATCCAACATGGAGGAGATTCAGCAGCTCATTAACAAGTTCTGTCAGCTGTCCGACATGACGGTGAACTGGGGACAAAAAACAGTGGGTTGGTGGATGCACCATCAGGGGGGGAGACCCCCGGAGAACCCACGAATCACATGGCTCCCCCATGATGACCCCTTGAGAGTTTTGGGGGCACTAATGACTGCCAGAGGAAAGCCGACAACTAATGATGAATGGTTGGTCGGACCGGCGAAAGTCAAGTTTGAAAAGTGGAATAATAAACAAACATCGATTTTCGGGAGGGCATTGGTCATCAATAATGTAACTCTGGCCACACTCTGGTATAAGACCATCTTATGGCCTATGAGCAATGGGGGTCTCAAAACATTAAAACAACAGCTGGCGGCCTTCCTTTGGAGAGGCGACAGTAACACTTCCCACGCCATAAGTCGAGTTGCGTGGGACTCAGTGATCCAGCGTAAGAACAAAGGACTAGGTATCGTGGATCCGGCCACACAATTCCACGCCCTCACGATCCGCTGGATCCAACATATTATCTTCTCACCTTCATCCCCATGGATACCCTTAGCCCTGGCCCAACTTTCAGACCTGGCCTCGGAAACCCCACCGGAGATTGACCCCCGGGTATGGCTAGAGGACAGGTACTGGAGGCTGCCTAGGAAGTACAGTAACGGGGACCCTTCTGACAAACATTGGGTGTGCCTTTTACGTACTTGGAGGAAACTCCCCCCCCTCGACCGCCTTGCGCCAGAAAGGTGGGAGGAAATATTCAGGCAACCCCTCTTTGGCAACCGACTAATAACAGACCCCGAAGGGCGGGTGCTGTGCAGTTCGGACACTCCATGGAAGGGATGGGTGAAACACGGTGTACGGAGAGTTCGGGATTTATGGGACCAGGAGGCTAGGAGTTGGAAGATCACGGGGCAGATGCGAGTATGGCTGCGGTACTGCCATCTCACTGAGAAGGCACTAAACGAACTTATTGATAGTTTTCCCCTCCACTGGTACACCACCCTCAGAAAAGGCCCCTGTGTAAAGGAGGGCGATTGGGTGGGCCTGCCCGGCCATAACATGGAAGTGGGGCGGGTGCACTTGACGAATCTAACTCATGTATTAATAGAGATTTTTTCCATACAGAAGGATGATGGGTTACAATGGAACAAACAGCCCTTTGTATGGAAGGAGGGAAAAGGGGTCTATCGCATCAGGATCATCGAGGAAGGATGTCGCCAAAAAGTGTATCGTCCAATGATCCCGATCGAGGACCTCCCACTGGACCCCGACGAGTGGAAATGGACCCAAGGTACCAGGACGGGAAAAGGGGGGGCTGACACGCTGTCACGATACAACCTAAAATCTAAATCAGCCTACCGTATGCTCAAACCCAAAAGGGGACTGAGAGATCGGGTGGAAGACAGATGGTACCGCCATCTTAATATTGACCGCAGCCTGCTCAAGCCCATTCGATGGTTTGCACAGTATAGCTGTAGTCCCGCCAAAATCTCTGCCCTCCAGTGGCAAATAGAACACAAATGTTTACCCACTAACGATTGGCTGATAGACCACACCCGCCTGGAACAACAAGGAAAGGCGTTGCCATGGTGTCGTAAATGCCTCCAGAGCTACCCTGGGAAGAGGCGGGCTGAAACCATTGAACACATCTTTCTTCAGTGCCCCGCGTCAGTACTTCTATGGAGAACCTGGGATAGGATCTGGAGACATATTGTTCCCGGCGCGGAATGACCATGGGTTTGGAGGGCTATACTGTTGGGGTACTGACCGCAAATTCGGGAGAATATCTTTGAGGAGAACATGTTCAACCTGGGAAGGAGCGTCCTATGGACCATATGGTGGAAAAGATGTATCCTTGAGATGGAAGGGGCGCGGGTAGAGGATGGAGAAGTTATGGAACAGATCCGGACATTGATGCGACACGAAATTGCGACCCAATGGAACGCTGTTAAAGACAAGCTTGACCAAATGCACAACTGGGGGGACATAAACAAAACTATTTCCTGCTTCGGCAAGAACTGGCTGGGAAGGGAAAGAGAGGGATGGGTGGCCGAGGTAAAATGGTCGGGGAGCAGTCTGTCTGAGAAGGAACCACAGGAGGAACCCGGGATAGAGATGGAAAGGGACTACCGGCTGATCTTCCATGATTGGATCAAAGTAGACCCTGGTGAATCATTGAGGGCAACTCAGGACTTCGCAGACCCCTTCCCCCCCCACCCACTCTCCTTAGCAGAAACCCTGCCGCCTGCATAAGCCAAGGGATCTACCATGTAGCAGTTCTGTTCTGTTCTCAGCCCTGCTCATCTGTGCCTTCGCTCTTTCTTTCTTTCCCCCCCCTGTTTCTCTCATCTCTTTCTTTCATCTCTTTCATCTCTTTCTCTTTCTTTCATCTCTTTCTCAATAGTCTTCAACAGTCTTCAACAGTCTTGCCCAGTCTGAATACGCCGGTGGATTGGACCTGGTTACAAGTGAAGTTTTTTTGCAGTATCGTTTCAGTAATTCTCAGAAATTTTCAGTATTCTTCTGTATTTCTTCTGTATTTCTCAAAAAAGATTTCATCTGATTTCAGCTGATTTCAATGCAGCTCATTTCAGCCTGCTTTCTGTTGATTCAGCTTTTCTCAAGCACATGTTATTGCGGAATGCTAGACAAAATAGGCGCCATGAGGATAGTAGGTGGATGGCAGAGGCTAGGGGATGGAGGGAGACTCCACTGGTGCCCCCCGGCGGTCCCCCCCCAATACCCGACCCTACTGCAGGTTAGGTATGGAAGAGTAGAGTGGATATGGGACGCTGGACCCGGTTTCCAGCACATTGGCGTCACTCTCATTGATGTACTGTTTTGCAAAGATGTATTTAAGGGACGCTGGACCCGGTTTCCAGCAGGTGTTGCTCCCCACCAATAGATGGAGCGGCCGCTAGGCAAAGCCTCAATCCCGGTGGTTCTCTTACCACCACCAGGATAGAGGTCTTGCACACACACACACAAAAAAAAAAAAAAAGGGTTCACAGCATGGTAACCCCGGACCCGGACACCGGACACTTCCGGACTGTCTGTTGATCCGGACATCACCGGACAGCGGACAGTCCGGGCGGTCCCCGGGGTGCAAAAATGTCCGGACCCAAACAAAAAAAAGACGGGTGGGGGGAGGTTGGGTGGGGGTCTTGGCAGGCACTTAGCTGCTTTGACTAGCAGACATGCAGAGTTGCAAACAGTGCAGAGCAGGCACAAGACTAAAGAAACAGAGATTTTTTTTTTGAAAAAACTTCAGAAAAGTATGATTAACTTTGAACTTTGAACTTTGGATTTAGTAATTTAAGTTCATAACTTCATTTATAACTTAAAAGTTCGAACTTTGCAGTT